CATTCTGTTGCTATCTGTGAATTAGTCCTCAGCCTAGCATGGTTGTTTTGAGGATAAACAAGTAAGAGCATAAAGCTACAGGAATGAGTAAAAACAAGATCTCAGAAGCTTTTTGTGAGAACAAATTGTTGTCAGTGTATTTCGGTACCGGGGGGTGAAGTGCGTGAAGATTCTGTGCCCTCAAACTGAGGAGAACACATGCAGAGACAATGGATGGAGCCAATCCATGGTATAAAAATCCCATGCCAAAAGAATTGAGAGGGACCAAATACACAGAAGTTTCCACTGTATACAGACAGTAGAATGCTATAAATTCATGGTAGAAAATCCCCTATATTTTGTCTCTATTAAAGTTTCTTGCCATGTGATATTTTGATAACTTTAAGCAATATATTGCAGAAGCCCAAATTAGCCTGAATTAGGTGCATAGTTATAGTAAGCATCTTAGAAAGCTTGGTGGAATGGCAAAACTCAATGTGATGCAGTTATTCCAGGATATAACATTTATAGAAAAGACAGAGCAAGCTGCACTGATGGTGTCATTCTATATGTCAATATGGCATTGAGTACAATAAGTTGGATGTGTTAGGAGAAATAATGCACAGTGCAATCAGAAGTGAATCTTCTTGCTTACTCTCTAGCATGTGTTCAAGATTGCACCGCACATCAAAGGAACAGTAGAAACACCGTACCGAAATAGTAATGTATAGTTTGAGTGAACATGTTGTCACTGCCTTGACCAATGTTCTAATGGTGATTTAGAGACAGAGAAAGGAAATCAGGGGAAAGGCCAAAAGAAAAGAAAAGCAATGCTGCAAAAACTGACCACTATAATTATCTTCACAATGGTTGGGGAAATGGTTGGGTTAGTATGGTCATATAACAACAACAAGACAAAGTTTGTTGATTAAATAAGACTGCAATCTGAAGTTTGTATTCTGTGGACTAAATTAAATTAAGTACATGGATTAAGCCCAGTTACACCTGAGTAAAACATGTTTAATCTTGCCCTGTTATCCCTTAGAACTGCTAGTCAGTATCATGGAGTTGACACGGGGAAGTAACGCTTGATGTAATATTCAGCATTGCCCAGGATCTGGTTGAAGATGTCATTGTTGGAAATCTATTTGTACACACACATGCACATGTGCAAACACATGTGCACATGTAAAATTCTCAAAAAGGTCCAGCACTAGCATGTTTCTTTTCAGAAAAGGGAATTACTCAGAAGTAATTTCTTGTGGACTCATCACCATCTCCATCAACATCACTTTCTCCCTCTTGCAAGGAACCCAAGGTGGTTTACATGGCTCTCTCCCTCTTCACTTTATCCTTACAACAACCACCCTGTGAGGTAGGTTAGGCTGACAGTTGACTGGCAGAAAGCCACCCAGTGAACTTACTGGCTGAGTGAAGACTAGAACCCAGATTTCCAGAGTTCCAGTCCAATGCTCTAACCACTACACCACATTTGCTTCTTGAAAAGAATTTGTAGAGAGTGAGAGAAGTCAAATTCTTTCAGGAAAGTTTGGGTAATTAAAAACCATTATAATAACAGCTCAGAAAAAATATATCCCATAAATCAGAAAAAGTATAAGCCCAAGGGGACACCAGCATGATCAAACAGTAGTGTCAAAAAGCCATAAAAACCTTCCTTCAAAAAGTGGAATTCACACCCTACTGAAGAAAATAAAAAACAGATGCTCTCTAATTAAATAGATTTAGCTGAATGAAAGACCATCAAAGAGGGGAAGTAAGGACAGCCAGTATTCACCCAATCCAATACCCCTGAACAATGTTTACAGGGCTATAGGATTTTTGGAAACTGAGGCTTGACATCAGAAGATATCGTATCTCCAAAGTCAAAATTGGGACTCCATTCTTAGAGCATCCTCCATGCTTGCAGCTGGAGCAGAAAGAACTGCACCAGCTGCTTCTGCAAGACTGCAAAGCATCCTTCATCTCTGTGCTCCTGCTCTGCATAGGATGGTCTAAGCTTGGGGTTCTGGGCATCTCCTTAGAAATATGCTGCATATTATTAAAATAGGTCTCATTAATAGAAAATTAGAGAGCAGCCAATCTAGTACCGACAGCCCATCATTGCTGTCGTTTTTAAAGAAGGGCATCCAGGCTGAGCTGGGAAATCATAGACCTGCCTGACAAATATCCATCCCAAGTAAGTTAGTGAAAAAATAAGGTTGGTACTGTTTAGTCACTCTGAATTGGTTTAAATAATGATATCTTGAGAGTGCAGAGATCATCTCATAAAAACATTTTTCAATGCTCAAGAAAGAAAAATGATTAGGAAAGAAAAAGAAATAATGCCTTTATCAAAATGGCATCGTGTAAAAAACTATGGTACAGTGTACCATTATGGTGGGTTCATCTTGAAAAAGATCTAATATTGTAGGAAAGTGACAGAAGGGAGCCCTAAATGATCAAGAAATTGGAATACCTTCCTTTTAAGAAAAAAATAACCTAATGCTTTTAGGCCTTTCTGTGTTAGGAGAAAAATATTACTTCAGTCTTTTCTGGTAAGGAAGGAAAGGCGCTCCAATCTCTTGATCATTTTAGATGCCTGATATTTAAGTTTTTAATGTCCACAAGCCAGTCCTTCAAGAACTTGAGGTTACCCCATGATAATATTAGTTCACACAAGGAATACGTCATGTATGATCCGTATTGCCACAAAAGGTGGCCATGTTTCCTTGTTTGCATAGCATACACCTCTATTTGAAGAGATCTTTTATTTGCAGAGTTGTCCAGTCCAAATCCAGACCTGAAGGAGGCTTACTCAGGCCTTTAAGGTACCCATCAACAGGAAGTGCCTGCACACGATGCCTGAGTGAGCACATCACTCACCTGGTCACCAGCACCCCCACTGAAAAGATACATGTTGCACTTCTGTTTCAATTATATTTCTTCATTCTACATTTCCATCAATATGCATAAATTACAGGCCATTAAGCAGTAATTGAAAACACATTTATATACCAGTCCCTTGCCATAATTCTAAGAGCTTATTTGGGCTGTTGTTATTGTGGTGTTCCTGTACTTTAAGTATATTTGAATGTGTCTGGTTATTAGATTGAGTACTGTTTTAATGTGATTACTGGCTGATGCTGCATAATGTTGCTGTGACTGTGTGTTTTCAGCTTTTAATTATGTTTTATATTGTTGTACAGTTTAATTTATATATGCCATAAGCCATCTCATAAGCTTGTTTTCCCTAAAAGGTGGGGTATAAATCTTCAACTAAATAAATGAGCACATGCCCATTTTTGGAATTAGCATCCCCCTCCCCCACCCAGTTTTGGCTAGATGTTTCCTTCACAGGATCTATTCATGGTATTGAATTCCATTCACAAAACCGTGGAAAACACAAAAGAAAATCTACAATGGATGAAGAACCCAATGTACATAGGATTCACCAACCTCCCTTGATTTGCTTTCCTCTTTTTCTGGGGTGGGGGAACAGAACAACACGTACCAACAGCCCAGGCATGAGCAGGAGAGAGCAGGTGCCCTCTCCATGCCATGCCACTCTGACTTGGGCAAGTAGCTCCTTTGCAGGTTGCTGAGTGTGATGTGAGAACCCAAGTCATTAAGGGTGAAACAAGCCCATGGTCACTTCGTGGTTTGTTCCTGAGGTCTCAAGCCAATAATGGGAAATGTGTGTTGGATGTAGTCAGTGGGCACACAGAGATACTGTTAAATTTCTTAAATTTATGAGTGACACTTCCCATTTACAGTGTGCTCAAAACCATGTAGAACAATCATTAAAACACAGAATGATTAAAGGAACCCAAAAATAGAAAACACAGTCATCCATGAGTGCTTGGCTCCAGACTTACTCATACTGAAGATCCACTGAAATCAGTGAAACATCAGTTGGTCTTCTTCTGTCTACTCTAAGAATGGCAAAGCAAGCAAGTCAGTGAGTGCTGTTGGTCACAATCCTATCCATGCTTATATTCAGTAAAGTCCTACAACTCCCTGTCAGTGAAGTAGGAGTTGTGGCAATTTTTCAGAATTGTGCTCTTGGAGAGTCTGGATTTGAAGACAAAAGAAAGTACTCAGGAGACTTAGCAGTCTGGGAGCCACAACATAGAAATCCATGTTCTGTATCGAATAGGAAACAAAGCTTGTCTAGCAAACCACATTGGATATGAAGGTAATGGCATGAATTAACATGCACATTTTAAAAAGTAAACAGCAGCTTCAGGGAGCCTGGGCAACCCTGTGATCAGAATTACAGGATGCTAAGACCAACCCATGGTCCATCTAGCCCAGAAGTGTCAACACGGAGTGGCAGCAGTTCTCCAGGGTTTCTTTCCTAGTCCTACCTGGCGTTGCTTCAAACTGAACCAGGGAGCTTCTGCGTGCCACTGAGCAATTGCCCCTCCCAAGCTCCCAACCCCAGTCCTCATAAAAACCTCCTTCCAGCTCTTTGCATTGCGATGGAAGCCTCCTTTGGCATTTTCATTGGGAGGGAAGAATAGCAGCTTCTGGGAGTGGCAGGACTACGGCAGCGGGACATCTGTACTTGCTGCCCCTGAGGCCCTGCTCTGGTTGGCTCTTGGTCTTCAGCAGTCTTCTCCAACCTCTTGGCCACTGGGGGCATGAGACATCAAGTCCCACTATACGTAAGCCTCAAGAAAGATATAGTCCAAACCTCTGTACAGCACCCAGTGTGGGAAGGCTGGTGTATGCGAGACACATATAGCATTTGCTTCTGCAATTTCAAAATCAAGAAGCTCTGAAACACTGCAGCATTGTCTGAGCAAATTACAAACACACACACTCCCCTGTTACAAATAAAATACACAAATATATAATTCCAGAATGCACACTGCCTTCTGAGACAATTTTATTGCTTCCGACCCTGCACTATAAAATGGCAATAGAACTTTGAACTCCAAATTACTGTCTTTTGATATATATTTTCATCCCAACCATAATACACTTTATAGCATTATTGTTCTCTATCTATCCCTTAGACACAAATGCCTTCTGGAGCCTGTGCAGATGCATTTAAAGCAAATTTGGCACAAAGGAAATAAATTAATGTAAGTACAAATGCTGCATTATTGATTCTTGTACTAAATGGACATATATTCAACGGACATTGCACATTAGGCCAAAAAGCTAATGCACACACCAGGCTCAATTTAAATTGCTGGATACAGAACAGCAGAACACAGACTTTGAAGGGCATATCCAGGTGGCTTCAAAGTAGAGCACTGGCTGTGCTATTCCAGTCCTTTCTAGTCCACACAGCAGACCATGGCCATGCAAAATGTGACATGGGAAGCCAGTCAAGCCTTTGGTCCTGCTAGCTCAGTAGCACGTACACCAGACTCCCTCAGCCTGGCTTCATCCAGGTGTGTTGGACCGCAATTTGTATTGAGTATGAGAGACACAGTCCAAGACACCTGGTGGGTACCCAGTTGGAAGATGCTGGTCCACAGTGATTGGCTGAAACTCTTCAGTCTCTTACTGGAGGGGCAGTCCCCTATGGGGGTATCAGAGATTAAACACAGTACATTCAACATACAAAGGATGGGCTTTACCACCAGTCTACCAGCTGCAACCAGGTGTCACCTAATCTAAGTTTTGCAACCAGGTTAGCAACTAGTCCAGCTTTCCTAGGTGTCAACTAATCTAAATTTTAAAATCTTGACCAGAATATTATCAATTGGTGATTGTCAGAATTAGGAAGTACCTCATGAGGGAAAAGTGGGGAGGGAAAGAGAGAGAAAAGTCCAAAAAGGTATTTTCCCCCCTTATCATTACAAGGAAGATACAAATGTACTTCCTTACCACAATGAACAAAATGAGGGCAGCAATCCAGTGCTAGCCCTAGAATGACATCCTAGGCAAGGAATCCCTTCAGGGCCCATTTTGTTCAGTCTACTTTGCTGTGCTGCCAAGAATTGCAAAACCTAGCAAAGTAGAGCTGTGTGCACTGACTCCTGTCTAGACAAAAATGATATCAGCCTGGAAATGGGGCAAGAGACAGACTTTAAAGCTAACCCTAGTTCTAGCTGACTGCAGGCATTATGCTCAACAGACACTGAGCCAGCGAACTTAATCTGATGCCCCACCGGCTGAGTGCCGAGGGCAAGCATCCAGTACATCCAGCCAGTTCTGTAGGGACCATACCAAGCCTTGTGGTGTCATGGAGAAGGAGGAGCTGCTGCTGATTTAACTGGGTCTTTGTCTTTTCTGCATGTATGGGGTGAATAGTCAGATGGTCGTACCTGGAAACTTTGAGGGTTGGACTGGAATCACAGCCACTGGGCATGCCTCCTGGTCCCACTGGCCATGCATTTGGTGAGCATGAGGAAGGGCCCTGCCCACATATGTGCCAAGAGGAGGGTGATGCTGGGCCAGCCAGGATGCTCCCTTGTGTGAGAAGTCTGATGCTTGCACGTTTGAACAAAATAAATTAACACACATTTTGTTCAAATGTGCAACATATCTGCATACACACACATGCAAATTCTAAAATAATGGCCATAATTTAAATGCAAATGCAGTAGATGGAGAAGACTGTGACCAGGTGACATGTGCGAGTGGCTCAGCTCATTGTCCAGTTGCTGTGGGTGGGCGTATTGAGAGCCAAGTGCTTCCTTTCTAAAGGTTCTTCATGTTTAAACAGGACTTAGACTAGACAGACCTTCAGTTGGGCACTTTCAAAATACAGAAGAATCATCTTGCTGCCCTTGGCCAGAGGAATCTCCTCTACAAAAGAAGCAAGCATGTGAGAGTTCATCTGAAAGCCCCCTCTTACATAGGTTCCTTAGTCTACACAGAACAAAAGGTACAAAATATTCCTTAACCAAGTTGCATTAAACAAAAAACAGAGTTAAGGAAAACAAATACATGAACTCCATACAGGATTCCTTATGATAAAAGTTAAAAGTATTATGTAAAACCACACAAATCATTAAAATCCTGGTAGGTTTCATGGTGTACAGTAATTGTAGATAAATGTTTATCTTGCATGAGCCAGGCCAGATTTTCTACTGAAACAATTTCTGTCATGCCTGGACCAAGGATTAAGTCTTGAAAGATGGAGTCGCAGCTTGCCCTAAGGATGTGGCAGGCTGGCTGTGGTAAGCAGTGCATGAACAAAAGCACTTGGAGATACTGCCCTGGGGACTCAGACCATTCAAAATGGGTTGGCACTGTGGAGATGCCACATCAACACTGCCCAGCACTAAACAATAGGTTTAAAGCATAGAAGGAGACAGGAGGTGCTTTAAAAACTGTTGTATTTTTTCATTTGTAGGAAGCTAGATGATGCAAGAAGAATTAAACACAATGAAGAAAGAGGATGCCCATCGCAGTAGGGATAATATGCACCCACTTCCTTTTCCCCATTGCTTGGACCCTGTTGCCAAGTTGGACATGGCATCGCCTCTCAGTGAAGAATTCAGAACGCAGCTTGCCCCATTTGGATATGGCCCTCCCCCAGGCCTTCCCAACTTCCAGGGGTCCTTTGAAGGAGGATCCCGTAAGCGTAAAAGCATGCCCACCAAAATGCCTTCTGCCATCCTGCCAGGGGATCCCACATCTCCACTCCCTAGATCTGAAGACACTGTCACTGGAGGTTCCCCCAGCCTCCCTTTACTATTCCAGCACCACCACACTCAGCCAAAGTACAACGCCCACATGATAGACCTGTGCAACATTGGCTTTCAGTTCTACAGAACTCTGGAACACTTTGGAGCACACCCTGTCAAGGAAGAGCCAATAAAGCCAAACGTGCTATGGCCTGGCCCCACAACATTTCTGCAGGCTCCCTACCCATACTATCCTAAAGTTCACCCTACCCTGATGTTTCCTTTTATTGTGCCACCTGATTTTCATTTCAGAAATGCTTTCCCTCTGAAAAGGTCTCCAGAGCCACCACTCAGGAGAGCTGAGTTAGGAGAACAAGCCGAAAACAAGCAGAAGGTAGACAGGGTGGACGTGAACATTCAGATTGACGACAGCTACTATGTTGACGTTGGAGGGGAGCAAAAACGCTGGCAGTGTTCCATGTGTGAAAAGTCATACACCTCCAAATACAACTTGGTGACTCACATTTTGGGGCACAGCGGCATCAAGCCACATGCTTGCTCTCACTGCGGCAAGCTTTTCAAGCAGCTGAGTCACTTGCACACCCACATGCTGACCCACCAGGGCACCAGGCCGCACAAGTGCCAAGTGTGCCACAAGGCCTTCACCCAAACCAGCCACTTGAAGAGGCACATGATGCAGCACAGTGACGTCAAGCCATACAGCTGCAGGATCTGTGGGAGGGGGTTTGCCTACCCCAGCGAGTTGAAAGCCCACGAGTCCAAGCATGAGAATGGCCGGGAGAACATTTGCATCGAGTGTGGCCTTGACTTCCCAACCCTGGCACAGCTGAAGAGGCACCTAACCACCCATCGTGGTCCCATACAGTACAACTGCACAGAATGCAATAAGACGTTCCAGTATCCAAGCCAGCTGCAGAATCACATGATGAAGCACAAGGACATCCGCCCATACATCTGTACTGAATGTGGCATGGAGTTCGTACAACCCCATCACCTCAAGCAGCACTCTTTGACTCACAAGGTAAGCTGACGCCAGAGGTCTCCAAAGCATGGGCGAGCCGCTAACCCAACCTCCATTTAAGCACCTGCAGACTGACAGACTGACGTACACAAATGACTCTAGTTCGACTTAGGTCAATATCATTTAAGTGGATCTACTCTAAGTAGAACGAAAGTGGGATGCAAAGCAATAGCTCTAACCTTATAGCTGCTTATCTGAGAGTGAGTCTTATTCGATTCAAAGACACTTACCAAGGCTCAAGTGGACAGAATGGGGTTTATTTCAGTTGAAAGCTTTATCAGGATAAACTTTCCCTGTCTTGGGAATAAGACCTATTGAACTAGATAGTACTTCAGGATAATATATAGGATAGCACTGTAAAATTCATGATTCCTTTGATAATATCTGCAAGAAAAATACTAATGCAATCATTGCAGAAACAATGAAAAGTGATTATATAACTGTTGCATTTCTTGTTCTGTAATTTTCTTTTAGTGAAGTTCAATGGATTATTATTTCATTGTAAACCACATGAATTTTGTGGATAAAAAGTATTATATTTCCCCACATTTTTAATTTATGTGTTCCAATGTCTTGGGAAAAGATTGGAAATGAATTAGTATCTAAGTTCTTCTATCAAACAATTTGAAGGTTTAGAGACAATAATAAATTTCTCACAATTTATCTTCTCATTTTTTGCCACAGCTTACTTTGGTGATTGTCATGCCTAAAGCTTTAAAAAGCTACATTGGCATCATTTGCATTATTAAAAATGTAATAGCATCCATAATTTAGGAAACATGAAACAAAATATATATGTAATTAACTGATGGTTTGAGCATGAAAACATACGACTTCATTTGTCATTATGATTGACTGTATGGTCTAGACTGTATGGATACCTGAATTATCCTTGTACTTATACTCTGAAGTCTTGTCTTTATAGCAGTACCTTTACAGACATAAATCTTCTCAGTAATCCAGTGAAGTGACAATATTCTCTCTTAGGGCCACTTGCACCATTTTTTGTGGCCTGTGATGGAACAGCGATAGTTTTGAGGTCCTTTCTGCCTGCAGGTTCTAGATTCAAGAACACAGGGCTCTCTCTGACATTCAGCTATAGCTGACAATTGCATTGCTTAACAATTTGTTGTCCACTCTAAGGACTAGTAACATGTTTAATGAGAATGCAAGATAAGGATAAGACGGTTGGTTTTTTTCTGCTGGAGTGCAGGACTTGACCCTTTTGAACTGCTTTTAAAAATAAAACCACCCTACTAGCTCTACTATTTAGCTTTTTCCTTGCTTTTGTGTTTTTCAAGGGTGTGAAAGAACACAAATGTGGGATCTGTGGTCGGGAGTTCACACTACTTGCCAATATGAAGAGACATGTCTTAATTCACACCAACATCAGGGCTTATCAGTGCCACCTGTGCTTCAAGAGTTTTGTGCAGAAGCAGACTCTCAAAGCCCATATGATTGTGCATTCAGACGTCAAGCCCTTCAAATGTAAGGTGAGTGTTTCTCAGACAGATAAGCAAGACGGATTTGGAGGGTGCAGGCCTATTGCCCCCACAGCTGATGCATGGAAACCTCTGAATTTAGAGGCTGATGTGCATCCTATGCAAGATACAGCAAGGAAAATCTCCTTCATTACGTCCCATCATGCAGGCTGTTTCTTCTAGGCAAACGTTTTTGCAATTCTAGATTTAGGGCAGGAAAGTGAGAGAAAAGAAGGCTGAGAGACCAGCAGGAATTGGCATATGCTTGCAGTCCTAGCCTCCTTCCCTCTCTGCCCCCTGTATGCATCCTTTCCCCCCCCTCTAAGGCCCAGTTGTGACCTGTAGCAGGGGTCATCTGAAGTGGTTATTTCTGTGTGGGCTGCAGGAAGTCACAGACTTTCAGAACTCGGACTTGCATGATGCTGGAAAGCCATAGGCTTGTGCCCTGAATGCATCAGTTGAACTGCTTGTGGTTTTCTCCAATGTTTTAGTTGTTGCAGCAGTAGTACTTTAGTGATACTTCTTAACTGTTTTAAATTTTGTATGTTTTAATTTTACTGTAAGTTTTTTTAAGAAAAGCATTTATAACCTTTAGAAGATAATGATGAAACAAAATGGTAGCCACATTTTGCCATATGAGAGGGCATCAACTCTAGCAAGGAAGGATTCTATATGTATTGCATAATAAATAACAAAGCTGCAAAATAATGTAATCAGCAAAGCTAGAGTTCTTGGTGAATCCCTATAGCATAGCCTATTTATGTAAACAAAACTCAAACAGCAATAAAATTCAATTGAGGGCTTGGAAAACATTTTGGTGCCTTAGTAGGAAATTTAGTGTCTCTCTCCCTGTGGCAAAGGTGTATTAATAAGTGAAATAGTTGTGCTACCCTTTCATGGCACTGAACAATGGCTATGGCCCACATGGCACAGCTCCATTTTTTTCTGGATCCCTGCATCCTGTTACACATAGGACATGACAATTTGTCAGGCCAAGTCCCATCCTCAGACCTGCCACAGAGTTGCTTACATTCACATTCAAATCACAAACGCGAAAAGGAAAAACATGCACACACATGTAGGCAGTTCCCAGTGACATCATTCCACAAACATTAGCAAAGCTCAGCAACATATTTCTTTGCTCAAGCACACGTGCATTACCCTTGCACAAACTGTTCTGCCAGTAGTTGCATAATGGGATGTGAACTGCATCTTCCCAACTGTGCTTGTGTATGCCTAACATTAGTTGGATTCTGAGCTTGTGCACAAGTTGGAGCCTAGTTTCTCCCGCACAACGTCATTTGTGCTAGTGGACTGACGCAGATGGATACTGCCCAGACATGCACAGGCATGCACAAATGCACATTCACAGAGACATTTCTAATGTTAATTTGGAAAATGGCTTCATACTTTCCCATGGAGTCAATAGTAGCAGAGGTAATATGATACACTACTCAGAGCAGTCTTTTCCAACTGGATGCTCTCTATGATTATTTAATTAATAGACAGGAATTTTAATCCTGATCTTCAGCTGAGAAAACAGTTTACAATGACATGACACAAAAAGGAAAAGGGATTCAGAGAGGGGAGGAGAACCAAGCAAAACACAGGGAAATGTTCTCAAATTTAAAGTTCTTGCGGCTATTCTTTCTGGCAGGAAAGGGCAGAAATAAGTTCAGCAAAGCTGTTCCTCCTCTAACAGTGCATGGAGTTTGGTTTATTCATTCATTCATTTTATTTATTATTTTATGTCCTGCTTTTTTTCTTGCAAGGGACCCAAAACAGCTTCCTATTTTATCTTCACAACAAGCCTGTGGGGTAGGTTAGGCTGAGAATCCATGACAGGCCCAAACTCACCCAGTGGGCTTCATGGCCAAGTGGGGAATAGAACCCATGTCTCCTGGGTCCCAGCCCAGCATTCTAAACACTAAACCAGATTGGCTCCAATTTATGTATTTATTTAAAATATTCATGTGCTGCCTATCTCACTACTGGCATCTCTAGGCAGGTCACAATATTAATAACATCATGCAAAGTTTAAAAAAATCACTATAAAACAATAAACCAACAATCTATAAATTAATACAATAATATTATAAATTCCAATAAATTAATTCAATCAAAAGTCCTTAGTGGCTTCTAGTGAATATTAAAATATCTTTGAAAGAGGTAAGTCTTTGCCTAGCTCAAAATAGAATGCAAAGATAGCCATACCTTGCCATAATGTTCTCCCTGAGAGGCAGCCGTGAAGCCTGCCAGTGGCCCTTTGCTCTCCAGAGACTGCCATCCAAGGCAACTGTTAGTTGGAGCTGTGTGTGCTGTCTGCAAGGAGGGGTAAAGTAAGCTCTCCACGGTGGCTCCCTCTTGGCTGACATATGGGGCCAGAATGATGTCTTCTTGCTGTGATCTTTTTCCTGGAAGCCAGAGGAGATGCTGGCTTAGACTTAGGCAGTTCAATTCATCTAAGGGGGTGCCATTTTGAGAAACTGGCTCAAAGTGATAGACAATGGAATACTTATGCAGTAATATACTTTTCTACCTTTTACCATTTCTGGAGACAAGGATATGGCAGTTCATGAAACAGTAGCATTGTCTAGCTGAACTCTACTTTGGTTCATAACTCCTTACCCTAGATGAGAAAGCTTTGAAAACGAGAATGTTGTACTTTTATCTTTTTTATTTTCTTTCAGTTTTATTCTTCATCTTGAGATTGCACATTTATAGCTCTTAGTGTAATTGCTAGCCTACTGATGATAAATATGTCTGACATTTGCATAGCACATTTCATCCCAAAGGGAAGTCAAGGATGCTTAACAATTTGATATACTGGCTAAACACATGAATCAATCCATTTGTGTTGCACTTTTTATCAGGAGAAAATACAAATGATGCCTAGACCTTAAGGCAGGGAGTATATTAACAAAATTGGATAAGGTGGCATCGTACTTCAAACAGGATAAAAAATGAAATAGACTCCAGATTAACCTGCACGGCCATGTCAAAATTAATTTCCTGGGACTGTATGTCTGTTGTTTCATGTGACTAGCCAAAACCTCATGACTAGCTAAAGAAGAAATCATGCTTTTTGTCTGCTTTGCCAACTATCTCTCAACCACCCTCTTAGTTGAAAATGATCTCTAAGTCTACAGTCCTATTCCTAATTACCTGGGAGTGCACCCAACTGAACTGACTGGAACTTAACTGCTCAGGAGACCTGTACAGGAGTAGAATTAAAACCTTGCTTGTTGAATGCAACAAGTAACCATGTGGCTCAAGCCTGAAGTTGAGCTCGGATGGTTTACATTTGAGTTGTTTGTATTTCAGGAATATTTTGTTGAGACATGATTTGTGGGTGAATTAACAAACTATAAATTCACCTGAGGGGGTTTCACCCATGGGCAACACCAGGTTCCTCAGTTCAAACGTCACAGAAACCATGTTCAAATGCAAAACCCCTCCAATTCTGGAAAAAGGAAGTGGCTCAATGACTGCTGAAAGTTGCTGTTACAACTGAACAGCCCCAGAAGGTGTCACATGTACGTTGTGTTATATCAGGGAAAGGGCACTCATGTTTCACACAGGGCCAGTCCTGCAATTACCAGGAGTGAAGTGGGCAACACGGACAGCAGATTTTGGCATCATGAAAGGGCTGCAAATAGATATTATTTTAGTCTTAATTTATTTTTACTGGCAGGGATGGGAAGAGATGCTTGTGGGAATTTCTGCCTCTGATGTCAAAGTAACTTGATTGACCTCGGGTATGATGCACACTAACCTGGGGGAGAAGGTAGTTTTGGTTTCCCACCTCAGATAGCAAAATGTCTTGGGCAGGCGGTTTTATAGCTTCTGTGTGGATCATGCCATAAGTGTATCATTTCCACACAGGTAAAGGTCATATACTGTGCAACAAGCTCCATCAGCCTCGAATTTCTTCTACTACATAAAGCAGAGGAGCCTATTGTCTAATTCGCATTTCCACACAATTCTTCAGCTATTTGTCTTCAGACTGACAGAATATAAAGCACAACGTAAACATAAAGGGAACATGCTGTGAGCAGCACCATTAGAACTGGCCAAGACATCTTACTGCCTGAGAGAAGGGGCAAGATGCTGCCCTTTCCTATTCCATGTACGAAAGCTGACCGGACTGGCAGTGCAACCATACTTCAACACTGGTGATAGGACAGCATCTTCCACTGCACCTGTGGGGAAAGTGTGAGTTGCAGTGGGGCAGTGCAGGGAAGGGCACATGAGATGCCAAGTTCCATCCTTCGAAAACTCACCACCACTCCCTGCCTCCGAGCAGGCTTCCTCACTCCGTCTAGAGCCAGCCTGAAGAGCTGTGCAACTGAGCAGGTTCTGTCAGTCAGTGATGATGGGTCCCTCCACATGGGCAAGGCCAGATGCGCATACCAGAGCACCTCTAAGTTCACTATTACACTTTTGAAAACCAAGCAGTAAACATGGTTTGAAGCTGCAGCTGGGTAAGAAACAGGAAGTGAAAACAATTTGAGATTCATGAGGAATGCCTGTCTATACATTTCCTATTTAGTCAGCATTCCAACAATACCACCACATAATTATTACAATACTGTTCTATGTAGAACATGGCTCTATTTCTATTCCTGTTTCGCAGTGACAGTCCACGGTCTCCCCACAACTAGCTCTTAGGCATCAAGAACGGCTGCTGCTACTACAAACAGGATGTTGGCTAACATGTACTGCAGCAGCCCCCCCTTTCTCCCTTTATCTTACATGACTATGGCAATAGGGTTACTCCATGTAGGGGAACTTGGAGTGAACCACAAGCCAGCCAGGTATTCCAGAGTTGCATGCTGTGCCTTCATTTTGTGTCACTTAGGGTGGCTGTGTGGCCTACTTTATAAAGAGTAGTCTGCAGGAAAGTCAAAGGAAGGATATCATCTGTTTGAAGGAGACTTCTATTTGAAAGGCTTGGTTCAACCACCTCCAACTGGTAGCTGCCACACACAGGATCAAATATTGTAATATTGTATGCTCCAGGTGTGTTGACTGGTTCCAGGGCATACTGTGAAGGTACACAAGACAACCATCTTGTTGAAGCTAAACAGGTTTGGGTCTGGTCAGTGCTTGGAGGGGGAGTCCACCCGAGAATCTTTTGTAGCCACCTTTTCCACCAAGGAAGCAAGGTGTAATGTGCTACCACAGCTTGGAGTGCCTTTGTTGTCACAGTTGCCTGCTAATGGCAAACCCAGCACTGCTCACCAATGGAGATCAGGGTCCACCAGCAGGCACCTGTTGGGCCCTAGGACAAGTCCAGGACATTTTCCTGCTTGCAGTGAAGGACAAGATGGCACCCTCCATCCCACCTACTGAAGCTAACTGCCTCTTACTTCAGCACTGGTGGCTGGACAATATCCTCCACCAAATGTGAGGCCAGCAGGCCAGCATAGGGATGCCAGGCAGGATGCTGAAACATATCACTCCACAAAGGGGAGTAGCCGGGGGGCTGTCATGGCAGCCCCCGCCATGCCACCCACCACCTGCATCCTGAGGCACCTGCCTTACCTGAACTCTTGATCAGGCCCGCCCTGCAGGGCCCTTTCAAGCCTGGAGTCCATGCTTGTGCAGGGTTATCTCTGTGCTTGTTACCTTAGGGCAGGCATTCCAGCCAGTTGGAATAGATGAAATAACCCACAGGAAGCTGGGGTTTAGCGTAGGGACAGTGAAAGAGGGAACCCCGGAGGGCTGAATTTGCTTATTTGAAGAAAAAAAGTTATGTACATTTTTGTGTTTTGCAAGTTGCTTTGAGTCTTCTGGATCTGACAGCATAGAAACCTAAGTCAGGAGAACACTGGTCTAGCAGCCACGTTTGCCATATAACATTGTCAGAATTCATAGAGTGTATCTGCTACAAAAACAGAAACGTATCTTTGCTGTGCATTCATGGTCAATGCAGAGAAGCCTGTTACTCAACTGACAGAACAAACAAATGAATAAATAAAAGAAGTGATCCACGGGTGTCAGCAGAGAATCAGACCCCTTTTGCCTGACAGGGAAAAAACCCCTCTTCTGAGGCATTTGGGCTCAGCCAGGCCTCTTTGGCTGGCATTCAGGGAGTTAAGGCAATGACCAGATAGCCGCTTTTTGGCACCAGGTTCCTCCTCAACAGAAGGAAGGATATAGCTGTACGAACTGCTTGCTTAACAATGGCCTGCCTGTCCCCAGGGAATGGCCTGCAAATAGATTTCATCTTGCTTTCTCTTGTACTTTTTGGAGCTTCCTGTTTTCTCACGGCCCTTTTGGACAGTTTACAGTCTTTCTCCCTCTCCCTCTCTCTTACTTTCAGGAAAGGAACACCCTTCTTATTAAACCTTCGGTTTTTTATTATTATTGAAAGAAGAATACAAGGGAAGAACAGCACAGCAGTGTCCTTTCTACCTCACGGCAGGCTGCAGCTTTTCTTTGACTTGTTTCTCAGAGCAAAAGAAAACACCCAGCCTTCCTACACAGCTAATCACAGCTACACAGAGGCTCTGTGCAGCTTGAGAGCAGAAGAAAGACTTTGTCACTGACATTTCCTTGCCCATTTGGTTTTTCCTCTCAAAGGACAGAGCTACCTGCTGTCTTTTATGCCAGTCCACCCAGATGTTTGGTTTCAACGTCATCTCAAACAGTTTTTGCTATCAACTTTTGTCATTTAGTGAATGCGAACAGCACTTCCCTACCTTAATCTTTCTCCTGTTTTGGTGTTAAAGACTTGAGGCCTTTGCTTACACACTGGGCTTCAGAAAACAGGAAGTGGAAGGATCAAACCTAGGATTCACCTAGACCAGCCTTCTGTTGACACAGGGGCGAACAACTGCCCACAGGAACCCCACAAGCAGGCCATGAGGGCAAGAGCATCCTCCAGCCCATGTTCCCCCACAACTGGTGTACCTAGGCCTTACTGCCTCTAATATTGGAGGCAGTGTATAGCTATCAGAAGTAGTAGGGATAGTTAGCCTTCCTTTTCAAGAATTTGTCCAGGCTTTTTTAAAGCTATCCAAATTGCTGGGTAACACTACATCTTGTGTTAGTGAATGCCCAAGTTTAACTATGTATTGTGTGAAGAAGTATTCCTGTTATCTGTCTTGAAGCTCAAAGTAATCAGCTTCATGCAATAACCTGAGTTCTTACACTATGAGAGAGGGACAAAAATGTCTCCCTATGTTTTCCACACCATCCTGATGGGAATCATGCTAGTTCTTCTTGGTTTTATGGAGGCAGTGTCCTAGATTAATGTCTCTAAACATTAATTTTAGAATACTTTCACTGAAGTCTGATAAAAATCTGTTCAGTAACTTTGGAACTATCCTACCAGAAGTTTGTCATGGATTTTATCCACAGACTTGTCCAAAACGTGCTTTGATTTAGATTTGCAAAATTCTAAATTAATGTCCAATTTTTTAAAAGGACAACTATATTAAATGATACCCTATCTCTGTTAGGCCTATCCTCTATACAGTTGCCTAATATCCTTTTTAAAATAAGTCACTGCATCTTTCAGGGGTAGACAACTTGGTGCTCACCATGTGTTTCAGACTACAGCTCCCATCAGTGAACAGAACCAATGGTCAGAGGTTATGAGAAGTTTAGTCAAAAAACTTAAGCACTCTACCTTAACATGACAGAATAGTCTTACTCTCACCATCCAGAGAAAGGCATGAAGTATACTTCCAAATGAAAAATACTTTATTGAAAGCAAAGCATAACCATTGGACAATTCCTTGTACCAGTAGTTATGTGATACTGGGGGATGTACCATGCAATAGTAAGAAAGTGTACCATACTACCGGCATTACATAATGCATTACATAATTACATACTACCGGCATTACATAAGTGTACATGGTAGACAGGAGGACAACCGGCATTCAGAGTACAATTTCAATTTGTATGCCCAACAATGCACAGGGAGAGCATTTTTTTTGGTAGGCGGTTATAACATGCCAACAATGTCTTCCAGTTTCTAGCAAACTTTCTTCTTTCTCATGAAATCCAAAAGTTTTGTTTTGTAACAAAGCCAAAAATCTCTACACCCAAGAGAGCCAAAGCTTTGCTACGGGCTCCTTAATGGATTGGGAAAGAATAGCTCCGGGTGGGGCTGCTCCTGGGCACAGAATGGAGAAGCATGACCAAATCAAAGATTAATGAAGAAACGGAGGCGTCATGATGCCTGAAAAGGAAATGCACAGCCTTCCTCTTCATCTGTTTTATTTTCCTGCAGCATTCCAGGCATTCTTTCCCTATCCAGTAGAGGTCCTGATTCTAATCCCATTCTTTCCCAGTTTTTGGCATCATCTAGGATGAGGCTGCTCTGCACTTAGTATTAAACTCTGCCTGAGAGGATTTGGAGAATTCACTGGGCTATTTCAAATACTGCATTACAACAAATCCAGGATTGCTCTTAAATTATCACAGCCAACTTCTGCTGAAAATGCTTATTTGTTAAGAGTTGCACCTTAGATTTTTAGAGGTGCATTTTTTAAAAACCCTCACGTATACATTTCAAGATCAAATAATATTTTGTAGACTAGTAACTCCCATCCTGTTAGTAATTACAGCCCAGTCCTTAGTGAGTGAGTGTCTTTGGTGAGTGTCAGCAGCAAACACGCCACAATAAAGACAATCTGATTCTCTCCTTGGGAAGCTATCCAGCTCTGATGAATGGATGGATGAATTTTAGTTTAATATACAATGAGTTACACTAGTTAAATACCCATGGATCAGCTTATTTCTAAGATAAACCTTGACATTTTGCACTATACAGCAAGCTGTAACCTCAGCATTGGAACTCAGAGTCATAAGTTGGCAGTTCTGCTTTCTTGATCTTATCAACCCTTCTGTTCAATGCCCAATGAATGTTGTAAAAGCCTTCAAAATATGATGGTTGCTGTGTGAGCCAAGTGCTTTCCATGTGGCCTCATCATGTTTAAATCAGATCTCCATCTGCAAAGGCACTCTGTCACATTTACTTGATTAACAAGATATTCATCTATAGACCTGGACTAGCAATACATTTATAGTAATTGAGTCATTGTTTTTGATAAGAATTTACCAAAATTTGCAAATATCTTCATAAACAAGATGGAAGAACTTGAGATTTTAACAGTCTGAATGTAGGAAAAAGCAAAACCCAGATTTGTTTTCATTCTAGCTGTGGCCTTTGTTTCCTTAACTCTTAAAAGGCTGCGCTCAAATCCCTGTGGACTTAACTATGTTTGTGATGCTGAATTAAGGTTGCTACCTCTGTTTTCTGAGGAGCCCCTTGTCTTTGACAGCCACAGACATATACAGCATGGCCATCTCCATTCTGGAAAAAGTTGCAGCTATTGAATTTGGTTGATGCTGATGGATAAGAATTTTATTTAGTTCTTGTTCAGTAAAAACCTACCAAAATGTGAACATTTCTTCATAAAAAAATGTTAAGAAGATGAGTTTTCAAGCATTCAAACGTGGGAGATAGCAAATGGGCAGATCTGTCTGTCCCTAGTTTATAAGCAGAAGGAACTGTTCAGGTTTCTCCTTTTTGCAGATTTTAAAATGCAAACTGCAGATCTGTTGACATGCTCTATTTCAAGAAAACAGAATGATCTCTTCTAGCAAGTGTATCTGTAGAATAAATCACTTTGATTGTCATTGGTCTTTTAACAGCTATGCGGAAAAGAATTTAATCGAATGCACAATTTAATGGGACACATGCACTTGCATTCTGACAGCAAGCCATTCAAATGCCTCTACTGCCCCAGCAAATTCACCTTGAAGGGGAACCTCACCAGACACATGAAAGTCAAACATGGAGTCATGGAAAGAGGATTTCGTTCTCAAGGTAAATGACTGGCAACCAGGCTGACTTTGCAATACATTCTGTAATATTAAACACCAAAAAAAATATTTTGTGTAATAGGGCCAGGGACCCTACATACCTAACTGACCCAAATCTTGTCAAGTAAGAAGAGGCTCTGTGTCCAAGAGAGTGAAAACAGATATATTGTGCGCCATTGTTACACAGATGAAGGAAACATGGCTGACCTGGAAGAAAAGGCCAGAGCTTGTCACATGACCTCTCTGGGTTTTCAGAGTCTTAAAGGGCTGTCTGGTATAATTGGCAGTCAGTGCTCACAGCAAGTGCTGTCTGTGATATTTCCAAGGGTCAGATTTCTGCAGGTATGATACCAAGACTTGGCTGTAAATCTTTTATAAGGTATCTTGCAACTGATAGGCTAGATAGCAGCAGTGCAGGCCTTTCTTACTCAGCAAACAACTGTAATTTTGTAATTCCATGAACTGTTTCAGCTATAAAATTAAGGTGTTGGCTTTATGGACTTTAAGTCATAATACTTGGGTATGAATTTGATTTGATCCATAAAACTGAATCGTCTAAATTGTTTTCCAAATACCTCCTGCGAATTTAGTACTGTAATTATGCTAAATGTTGTGATTAAGACTGTCCAGCAGGTTTAGGAACTTTATTGAGGGAGCGGGGGAGAAATGAAAACGGACAAATTGTAACAGAAGAACTTGAAAAGGGTTTCCATTCAGAAATTATAGCTAATTAGCATATCCCAAATTGGATATGGGAACACACTCAAATTTGCATTTCAAAAACTGGAAATTGCCACTTCTTCCTACTGAAACTAGTAAGCACAAGTTTGTTGCACAAGTGTTGGTTTATGTTGGAACAATGTCACTGATGCTGGGACACTACTGGATACTACCTGACTTAAATCCCATTAATGTGAATGATTCTGCTCTAAGTAGGACTAATTTTAGATGCAACTCCATGGGATGGGAGCTAAAACATTCTGCACAGAATCTGAGTTCAATTATTTAAAGTATAAAATGACTGTCAATCTGTGAATGCACCAGTTAACATTAATTGTTTTTAAACATTCTTAGGACTTGGAAGGGAACGAATAAGAACATCACAAATAGAAGCCTCAGGAAGCATGGAACAGGAAGAACCCTTTGACCTTTCCCAAAAAAGCCAAGGGAAGGAGCTTTCATTTCACTCTGATGGCGAAAGTGTGAAAGGGAGTTCATGTCATGAGGAAGAGGAAGACAACTGCCTTGAGTCAGAGCAGTATAGCCCTGGCATGTTCCACAGCAACAACAAGGCATATACGCTGCATGATCTTTCAGGCCAACCAGAGCATGAGATGAAAGACTTCAGGGAGTTGTACTGTGACGGGAAAGAGAAACGGCTGGATGGAAAATGTGAGGAGAAGAAAGAAAATGAAGGAAAAGAAAGCTGTGAAGAGAGAGACTTTGTGAATAACAATGAAAAACACCTGAGTTTTAGCCACTTTGAAAATAATAGACTCACTCAGTCTCTTTCCAGCTACCTATACTTTCAGCACAGAAACAAGAGTTTAAAGGAACTGTTGGAAAGGAAAATGGAAAACCAAACTGTTTTTCTTGGTATCTAAATCAAGACCTCAGGAGTCTAACTTTTCATTCTGTTGCAAGTGCCAACTAGGCCAGGCCTCTGTCCTATTAAACTAAGATTCTGTCCCATTCTAGGAGGGTCAAGGAACAGAAACCAGATCAAGTCTGTTTAGACCAGGGGAACTGAACCTCTTTCAGACCAAAGACCAAATTCACTTTCAGAGATACTCTTGGGGAGCTGCAGTGCCAGCAGAGTGTGAGGCAAGTTCAAAAGGAGGCAGAGCAAAAGACAAAAATATGCCAACTAGCACCACATTTTAACTAAAGGTGCTAGTAATGCCAGTAATGAAAGCATTCAGCCTTTTAGAAGGGGTGGGGGGCAGGCAAAATCAGGAAAGCCACCAATCAGAGGTTGAGAAAAGGGGTCATGGCTTTCTGGAGAACCCCAGATGGGCTGTATTTGAGCCATGAGCCTGAGAGTCAACACCACTAATGTAGACAATGCCTGGCTTGGTCCTCAATAACCGCCCTGGTGCCAGGTTATCAGAAATAAAGCAATCAAGTTGTGATCTGAAACTAATTCTTCAGAAGAGTTAGTCATGCTGAATTCAGTGTAATTTAGGGTTGAACTAGACATGATGTTAAATGTGTCTTTGTATTATACATGCCGGGTTTAAAAAAAACCCAAAATAGATGCTTTTCCTCCCAATGCAAATAGCACCATAAGAGAAGGACTTACACTCTGGATGGCTGGTGGTGTCAGTGGAACAGCATTCAAGTCTCACTGACACCAGCTGCAAGGCTGATAATTAGCACAAAAACCAACTGATGGCCACCTGAATTTATAAAGCCTGCAGGTTGAATGCAAACACACGTTTAAGGTGCAATCTAAGCAGTTTCAGACAGAAAAAAAGCCTGCATATTCCTACATGCTGGGAGATACAGCTTTTTTTTTTTTTTGGTCAACATGTGCATAAGATTATGCCCTCGATTTCTAATCCAGTGTGGTCCTTACTCTGACAAAAGTGCACTTCAATCAACCATGCACTTTTACTTAGAAGTAAATGTGCCTGTATCTAGTGTACCTTACTCCCAAGTAAATGTGCACGTGATTCTTTTCTTAATCTCTTGGTGCATGGTGACAATGCTGTGAGCTGCAGTATATTGAATTCCCAATAGCTTGGTACTATAAACAGGATTTAATATTAAGTGGTCAATTATGCATCACCAACAATGCATAATAGTTATACATGTTAATTTTATATATAGATGCCCATTTAGAATACAAATAAATGCAATAAAGTGAGTTAAAGTGAGTGAAACTGTCAAGTGGCCGGTATGCCTGCAGTCTGCTGCAAAGGTGCAAACTGTTGGTGGCCACTTCAAGACCCCTTGGCTCCCTCCTTATTCTTCTCCGACTTGAAGCCAGACTTGGACTGAACAGCTTTTCTAGCAGAGGATCCCCTTGGATAGAGGACTGTCCTTTGAAAAGTAAGATACCTGATCACCCTACCTCTTGCGGTAAAGTTTCTCTCAGTCTTAGAAGTAACGTGAGGTTAATATCCTACGTGGAGCAATATGTCTAAGATCTCAACAAAGTGTAAGAATCCACAAATTGTCAAGACAGGCCTGTTAAATTTATGGGCACAATGGTCAAATGTCTACCAAGCACTGAGTAGTCCATAATGTATAGCTAGCATGCTTCCCTTGGTCTAGTGGCCACAAGTTTGACAGACCTAACTGCATACACCTATAGTGGCCAAATGCAGGTCCAAATGTAGCCCTTTATATGGGCTCTGAAAGTCCTCCCAATTTTTAATTAAAATATTAAAAAGTTTGCAAACGGGTTCACATATAAGAAGGAGAAATATATTTTTAAAGCTGAATAGTGTATATAATAGCCTAGTGAGACCCAAGCTCACATTTTCCATAACTATGAAATCGCCATGTCTACATTGTGCTGCACAGCCTGACTGCTCACAAAGGGATTCAGATTTGGAAACATTTGCTGTTTTAACTGTCATGTCTAACTTGGAAAGGCCCTTGGGAACTGTAGTTTTAGGCACAATGTGAGGGGGCTTGCGTTCCTAACAGTAGTATTCTCATAAAACTAAAGTATTTAGTATTGTTTGTGAGAAGCAATGGACCAGATTCAAATCAAAGCCAGATCAGATGCACTGGCAGAAGTGGACTTCCCATGGCAGACTCTCCAGCCCTCTGAAAAGGCTACTAAAGAAATCAGGAGACCCTACTGACTGGGTGAGCTGTTGAATGAAGAAAGGGGAGGATCTGAAAATACTGGGTGAGGAAACCAGTGCTGGCTGCAGGATTTTGAGGGCTCTTGGGCAAAACATTCTCCCCATTATCACCAGTTGCTGTTGCTATTCTGCCTCTTTCTCATGGGTGCTACCGCCTGCTTGCCTGACAGGCAGAGAGAGTAAGTAAACCATGAGCATCTGCTCCTCCTTCCCCTAATCACTGTTAGAACCAGAATGAGAGAGAGGTGAGCAAGCAGGTTGGAAAGATGCAAAGGAGAAGATCTCATCAGTTCGCCTTGCTAGATTGGTGGTCTGGCTGGTGTTCATCCATGCTTTCCCTTGATGCCAAACCTGGAGGGATCTTCCATGAGTGGATCCCTTTTTGCTGGGAAGACAGGTCCTTGATCCAACCTCATGGCTATGGGAAGCTTAACAGTTGCAAATCTGTAATGGAGATTCGACCTTAGAGAGAGAAGGGTTCAGCAGAAGCAAAATGCTTTAGTTAAGAGCCAGCAACACTCAGCACAGGTTCTGGGAAGCTAAGTCAGATTCTGCAAGGTACAGCACAATATAGCAGACAAGTGGAAAATTCAGAGGAAATATTGATTGTAGCTCATGATGAAAGGATGTGGCTAGGACAGCAAACGGTATCAGTAACATGAAGATCAATTAACAAATGAGTTTGGCACTGTAACAGCTGACTCAGGAGAACTCAGATGTGTTTAGAAGTTGGGTGCTAATAAAAAGTAAGGACCTCTTATGCCCCCTGTAAACTGGTGCACAATATGAAGGTGACCTCTGGATGATGATGATGATGATGTGGAAACAAACCAAAATAACCTTGGAATCTGAACTGTAACAGGATCTCTCAGGAGAAGGTCCTAGATTTCAACTTCATTTTCATGTGCGAAAAGATCAGAACCTATAATTTCTGATAGATTATTGTGTCTGGTTATGATTTTGTCCCTTATTTGTCTTTTCACATGGTATATCTAAATGTTTCTCAAAGGAGGGGTGATTTGCTATTACTGCCTCTATGCTCCTCTGTTGAGATTTTTGTACTGGCTCTCCACATTTTGAATTTTACTGTTTCCATGGTGTTGCTGCATCTGGCTGTAGATGGTGCAAATATAAAAAGTGCAATTTAAAATATAATATTTATTATACCAAGGAGAGTTTTTAATAAAATCTTGCCATGTGTTCAATGACTCGTTGTGTCTGCTTAAATGAATAGACAGCAACATTAACCATTTGTATTCTTGTATTTCTGTACTGATGTGTGGGATATTATTTTTTATAAAACACAATACAAGTAAAATACAACTGAAGTTCCAGTATAGTTATTGATAGCAGCTCATCTAAATGTTACATGTCTAAATGTATTTTGTTAATTTAAAACAAATAAATAAAGATATACCAAAGGTGCTGCTGTATGTTCTGTCATGGTCACCCAGGAATTCCACGTATCCCTGTCCAGATATACTTATGAGTCTCGGTTCCTCACAACTTTGCCACATGGTCCTTTTTCCCTGGGGGCAGCACTTAGCTGGACTTCCCTTCTTTTGGTGAAGAGATTACTGGAGAACTATGGTGTTGTGTAATATTTTTATTTATTTAGAAAGATGCAAGCAGAGCAGAAGGGGAGACAGATGTCACAAAACCTCTGCAACAGCCAATCTCCTACCCCACGTCAGATCTCTAGAGCAAGATACTGGCATCCCTCTGAGTGCCCTCAACTCAAAGCTAGCTGTCACCTTTGTGTGCTTGCTCTCACTTTCTATACATTTCCAATAATGCTTCTGTTGTGTTCTGCACACAGGGCACAAAGCCATGGGGGTAGTAGTAAAATGAAGAAATGAGTCGCACTTCAACCATTGGCTTCCATTCATAGGAGACCCCAAGCCATTTGGGGCCACCTGCCAATCCTTCTGGCCCGTAACATGCTTTTGTTCAAAACCTGAAGCTCTTCTGAGTGGCCCATGATAAAGACATATAGTTAAAACTGTCAGCCTATTCACACTTAAATTTAATGTTTTCCACTGAAGTCAGTGGGAGTTACCCTTGAGTACATGCACCATATGTGGCTTAGCCAAGCTCAGATAATAAGTAGAAGCTGAGCAGGGTAAATTAAGTGGTATAGAAGTTAAATAATGATAGGAAGAACTTCCAAACATTAGGTCAAACCAATATTCTGTCTAGGTCAGGACACTTCAGAAGCTCAGCTTTTCACAAGCTTACTGCTGAAATGAGCAAATGGACATTACATGGAATATTTCCAAATGTGGATAATGTGTCTTGTCCCTCTTGTATGATCTCTCCCTTCCCAAATCTTTGTTCCAGTTTTCTACCTATATGCATAGGACACACAGGATACAAAGGCACCTCCATACATAACATGGGGAGGTTCCATTCTGTAGCTCAGGCTGTGAGAGAGAACTGGTTGGGAGACAGGAAGAGAGGCAGAGAGGCAAACATACCATATTTCACCTGATCCATGATGCAGTGGAGGGGAATTCCTTCTGCTGTTCTCCAAACCAAAAAACCCAGATGGTATTTACATTGTTGTTGAATTCAGCATTTTCAAAGTCTGTTTCCACCCATACCTGAACCCATTTCTCTTGACTTCTTTTCTCCTCCAGGGCCCTTGTATCTTACCTGTTTTTGAGCATCCTTCCAGGATGTGAACTCATGTCTACCTACTGAAAGAGTCAGCAATCCTAACCACAGAACCACTGGAGGATGTTTGGACTGGGGAGAAGTGCTTCCCCTTCAATGGAGAGAAGCTGCACTAGTCCAGGGTGGGGAGCACACCCACCCCAGCACACCTTCAGGAAGCTCTGTGGGTGTAGATTTATTCCTGTGTTAGGCATCAATATGATGCTATGACTGGACAATTCAAGACCTGAGAGCTTTATAAAAGACCAGCTCCCAGTGGTCTTTTCCAGAAAACTGGAGAATAGGCATTTTAATATGGATTGCGATGGTCACTTATGTGCTGCCAAACTTTTTTTTTTAAAGGAACTGCATCACCTCATTCACACACCAAACAAAAGACAAATCCATGAGTAAAGGTGCAAATTTAGAAACCATTATATAATTTAAATGGAAATACAATGCATTTCAACACAGTGGAGAAAACTCAACAGTTGAGGGTGTACCTGCTCAGCCTGCTGTCTGAATTCTAACAGTTGATGGCAAACATCAAGGCCCTTGCAAAGCTCTCTTTGCAATTCTTAGTTGTGGGCCAAACTTGAACTAAACAGCCCTTCCAACAGAGGACAGGTCCATCTATAGGACTGTTCTCATCCAGCTATCCAGAATGGAGGGCTACCCTTTTTAAAATAGGACATCAGGTCACCTAACTTTGCTACCTGCATTCTGTACTCTCCTTGCATTTCTTAATCTACCACTGCAGCATTGCAAGTTAAAAGCAATTTTTACCACAGACTGACAAAGTGGCTGACTGACCATGATGGCCCAGTGGATCCCAAGCAGAGGAGCCACTCTCTGGCCCCTGGCAGCTTGGCCTTTGCACTTCCCCCTTTGCACTCCTGCTCACCAAGCAGAAAAGGGGCCACCGAGCAGAGATGCCTCCAACTCGCAGAGGGCAGAAGGGCTTAAAAGGCACACACTGCCTGTTCCATTAGCTGTGGAGAAGCAGCACAGGCTGTTCTAGTAGAAACCTGCTTTCAAAGTCTACTGAACTCTGAAAATCCAAATTGCCCTCTTCTACAGAGGGCAGTGCTCTATTTAAAAGGCCACCATTGCCCATCAAGCATTACCCACAGGACAGTAGGCTGAGTAGGCAGGTATGTAGACCACGATGTGTTGACATGCACTCCAACTCTGTTTGAACTGTAATAACATTTCCTAAATGTTTATAAACATTGGGTCCCTCTTTTGCCCTCTTCTTTGTTGAGGAATCCTCTTTGTTAGGCTACCCCAATCCAAAAGCAGACTACAACGTCAAAGCTATGTAAGTGCCTGTGGCTTTGTAGAACTGTCTAGTAAGGCCATGAAGGCTGGCTTCTACAACAATGTGTGGCAATAATTGGTCGGTCCCTCAGACATGAAGAGCTATTTGAACACGTGTGAAAAAGCACTCTCAGATCAACAATTGGATGGTGCAGCATTTGTGAGGGCAGGGCTAGCCATTGTAGTTCTGTGCACAGTTCGTTCCAGGGAACGACGTGAATGGGAAAAGGGTTTGATTGTATGTTTTGCAAACACTATAAACTCATTCAGCATGAGGAGGAAGCGTTGGGCCTTTGATAGCTGGGAGTGACCACTGTGATCCCACATGCCTCAGGATCAGTGGCTCTGGGCATTTCCTCTTTGCGAGATGCAACAATAATTTTTTAGTGGAGGAAACAGCATGTGATCCTTTTCTCAGAGTGGAGTTGTTTTTCTCATTTTTATTGAAACTCGTACTGGGTGTCTTAAAGCATAGGCTTCCCCAACCTAGTGCTCCCAGGATATTCAAGGCTGCAGCTCCTATCAGTCCTGGCCAGTTCTGTTGTAGTCTTACCTGTCTGGTGGGCACCAGGTTGGAGAAGGCCACTTTAGAATCATAGAGCCAGCCTAGATGTGGCCTGAAGTGAAGAAAAGATCATCCTATAGCAGGTCCGTGTACTGAGAGATTCCCCAAACTGGGTTGTGCAAGGTACCTAGGAATCATGGACATCTCCCCATAGTGCCAATGGGGTGAACCCCACCCTGTTTTCAGTCAGGGCAGCACTCAGAACTTCAGGAGCGGCTGCTGTATGGAGCCTGCCCTATCTAGCTCTCCTTCTACTACCCAGAGGCTTCTTCCATTCTTGTCGAGGAAAAATGCATCCTTTACGCAGGACTTTTTCCAGGGCTTTCTGTTTCTCTGCCTTTATATTCTGTGAACCAACCACAAGATTCACTATGGTCTAGCTGAAACACAGTGGGTTTTTGTTCTGGTTTGTCACTATTTAAAATTTAATACCAGATTCTCCTTGCTGTTAAAAAAAAAACCTACAAAAATCTGGAAACTTGGGAGAAACCCTGGAAGACAAAAATGTCATGAAATCCCCCACAAACTTTTGAGAGTAAGAGATCATGCGCACATAATAAATGCCTCGTGTATATGCCTTGCAGGTCCATCTTTCAGTTTCAGTGTGGGAAGCAAAAGGTGACCTTTACAGGTTTTTATATTCCCCTGTCTTTTTACATATTCTATTAACCAACCACAAGATGAGATGTATAGCAGATCTGTGACTTCTAAGGAGGCTTTTGTTCTAGAATGCTATTTAAAATTTAATACCTTGCTCAACACACACACACAGACACGCACACAGGAAAGGCTCTGGAAGATAATGACTTCATGAAAAGGCCACATGAGGAATGAGTGAGTGAGGAATCATGACAGTGAAGAATCATGAGAGCACAATGAATGACTGATGTAGAGAAGCCCAAATTTCTCAGGATTTTCCTATCCTTGTAGACTTGGTGCCAAGGTCATTTCTACTAGTCATCAGATCTGCCAGAAATGCACTATTATGCAATTCCATCTGGACTTTTAAAAAAATGTAAAACCATACACTAATCTACAGTTCAAGGAAGAATATGTGATTCCAAAGGAACATGGCTGTAGTTCAAAATTCAACCCATGCAAAAGCTGTATTGTTAGCTATTGTTAAAAAAATGGCTGATAATAATGTGAAAGGTAAAGTGATAGTCTCCTTCTTGAATGTATACCTTAACATGGTAAGCAGGTTTGAGAATATTAGTGAAGCTGAGGGCAATGCTGCCAGAAGGCCAGACTATCTCACTAGGCTGATCTTCTACCAGGGTCACCCAAGGCAGAAAGGGAGACCCCAGATTAAGATGCATCCACCCTCTTCAGGAGTAATGGTCACATCAGCAGAGAATTAATATTTCTAGAACTGATAGGCTCAGAGGAACTCCAGAAGAGCAGCTATGGGGCTGGAGTAGTAGTTGAAGGAGATACTGGCAGATGATCATTCCCAGAAAACAGCAGTGAAGCTCAAGCTAACTCTGGTTAGGACTGTGCAGAAGAAAGCGATGGCAAACCACTTCTGAATATTCTTACCTTGTAAACCCTATGATGAAATAATCCAAACTGCAATAAGAAGATGCCAGAAGATGACCCCCCGCCCCCCGATTGGCAGGCACTCAGCCAGATACTGGGGAAGAGCTAAGTATGAATAGTGCTGTTGCTGATGAAGCAAAGTGGCTGACAATCACAGAGGCAAAAGGAAAGGCCGGTGCTGAACAACACATATAGTTAGAACATAAGACTTAGGAATCAAGGCAAATCGATTCAAACTGTAAAGTGAGAAATGGATTAGTTAAACATTGCAGTAGTTGATGTAAGTGAACTAAAGTGGACTGGAATGGGACCTTTTCAGTCAGAGGAGCACAAAATGTTTTGCTC